ATCTTTTTAAAACATGTAATTTTGATTTACTACCTTATCAAATATGCTAATGCAATACTGAGATTTCAGTTTGGTTCATGATTTGTTATATAGCTTCATGAGACTTTGTGATCTCTGACAGCTGCCTCCAAAATTAAATTTCAGCTTTGGTACACACTATCACCTTCCTAGGGGTGAATGTATAAGGTGGCTGGGGAGTGGACACTAAGAGAGCAGGGTTATTGACTTTACAAAAGAGCATGGCACTCCTACATAAAGAAGATCATGGGGAGAAAAGTGTTTTGGCTTAGTAAGGCAATGGGATGGTCTGCGCTGGCCATGAGGCTGGCTCGGAGTTTTGAAGGATGATGTTGAGCTGGAAACTCTGTGAGACACTGGAAAAGATGCTTGAGGTGTCAAGCTGTGGTGAGGTCAGTGTGAGCCTTGGAGGAGATGGTGTTTACTGACTGCTGCAAAGCAGMTAGTGTACTGCCAGCACCTGCTGCGATCCTACTGCATTAGAGGTACATGTGGGGAGAGGCAAGCAAAGAAGCCTGGGCTCAACAGAGAAATCTCTCCTGATCTACCACAGTCTCCTTCAGCAATTAAGTCATTGTTGGGATTCTTTGGTGTGTGGCTTAGCCAGCTAAATCTGAACAGAGCTACCATGACAATGAAGTGTCATGAGAATTTGTTGAAAAGCGTCTATGCTCAGGTGCTCGTGACAGTTCAAGACCATTCTTAAAATGATAAATTTACTTCTTTTGTTCAAGAAAATATAGTTTCTGGGCTAGAGCAGGGTTAGCAGTAGAAAGATCCGCTGAGAGCCAAAAACAAAAAGCAGYTGGTATGGATCTTAACTGCTTTATGTTGTTTTGGCATTTCATGTTAGGTTTTCTCCCATCAGTATCAACAGACAAATAGGGAAAGATTTAAATAAGCTCATGCTTGGAAGCCATAAACTTTCTGGGAACATAAAAGTTTTAAGGGAACTAAAGAGAGTTCTGGAAAATCTGGACAGCTGCTCACTAAAGCCCTACTAGTTTCTCTCAAAATTCTTGATGAAAAGGACCTGGGGACTCGGTAGCCAGCAAGCTGAACCTGAGTCAGCAGCGTGCCCTGGCAGCCAAGTTGGTCAACACTGTCCCAGGCTGTGTTAACAAGAGTGTAGCCTGTAGGTCAAGGGAGGTGATTATTGCCTCCTCCAGTTTTAGACAGCATGCCCCCAGTACAAGAGTACCCTGTATACAAATATACTCTGCTACAAAGAGGGAGCTGTTCTTGTTCAGGTTGAGAAGAGGCTTTGGGGAAGATGCAACAGCATCCTTATGATACCCTATTGTAAGAATGGACCTGGCTCTTTACAGTGGTGCATGGTAGAAAGAGAAAAAACAGATTTAGGCTGAAACAAAAGAGGTTCAGACTAGATGCAAGATTTTTCCTGAGGGCAGTAAGCAGGATGTCCAGACAGGTTGTGCACTCTGTCCTTGGAAGTTATGGAACCCAGACAAGATAAAGCCCCATGCAGCACTGTCTGGCCTCAGAGCTGACTGTGCTCTGATAGGGGATGGGACTAGAGATCTCCTGAGTTGTTTTTCAACTATGCTTTAATCCATAGGATCCTGTGATCCTATAAAAAAAATTGTGGAATCTTAACTATCATTCATTTTTTCCTCACCCTAACCCACACATGCTTTATTGTTAAAAACACAATGCTCTTTATTGAGAGCCTGTGGTGCAGCACCTTCACCGTACCACAGCAGGCAATAATATGCCTTATAATATAAAGGGATATTGGTGAACCTAATTCTAAGACCTACGTGAAGATGCCAAAAACTGAGAAAACTTCAGAAAATAAAGGAGAACACTTTGATCTTTTTTAAAATCAAAATCCTGAATAGACCTCTTTTTTATTTTTCAGGGGACATACAAAGAATTTCTTTCTCTGGCCTCTGAACAGAACTGAAAACCTGCACTCAAATGCCCCAGATTCTCTGTTCTGTGAGCAGACAGCTGTCACTGCTATTTGCTGTGACATTCATTCATAGCGCACATCCCTTTTTCCCTYTCTAAGCATTAGTGTTGTCCTTTATAGAGGACAAAACCTCCTAAAGCCCTGTATTCCATGCTTCCCTTAAAYATATGATCCCTGAAAGTCCTTCTGCATGTTCTGAACCAGCAGGAGCAGCTGGCTCTGTTTTGCAGAGGGGCTGGTGTTGGCAAAGCTGCAAGAACGGCCAGCCTGGTTGACCATGGCATTTCCACAAGGTTTGCAGGATCCTGCAACTGCAGCTCGTAGACTGGAGGAGTTTCAGTTCTCCTCCCCACAACAGCCCTCCCCTGGCCTCCTAGCTCTGACTTGACCCAGTGTTGCATGCAGAATGAATAATTGCAGAATGTGTATTTTTGCCTGACTTAGTTCAAGCCTGATGGCCTTTGCAAACTCTGCTAGTGAAGGTGTGTTGAAACAGGCTYCAGCACAAGCTCTCTGGAGGCTTGGGAATGAGTTTTGGTCACTACACCGCATTTCCTCTTCTTTGCTAAACTATCTTAGGTGTGTTCATTTGTATTGCACCTACAGTTTAGGAAGACCAGAGAACAAYGTGTCTCCACTGAGTCCTGTGTGTGCTGCAAACACCTGTTGTGATTCTAATTTAATTACATAGAAAATCTTCATTGAGGCAGATGGGTGTAATTTTTATTGCTTCTATTGCTATAGTAACTGGGTGGTTTTACAAAACTCTACAGTGGATTGAGGGTGTCATCCATGATGAGACATGCTGGTAAATCTGCTGAAGTGCTGTACTGCAAGAAGGCTACACGATGTGTTCCTTAGAGAGAAAATGGTTACCATTATTCTGCATGAGGAATAGAACATCTGCTGAAATGCTGTACTGCAGGAAGGCTACACGGTGTGTTCCTTAGAGAGAAAATGGTTACCATTATTCTGCATGAGGAATGGAACATCTGCTGGAAGCTGTCTGCAGGCTTATTGCTACAATAAAAGGAAAGGCTACAACTAATTATTATGGGATCTCAGAGATGGCTGTTACTGTTTTGAAGCTCTAGCACAATTACATAGTTATTAGCTTGGTTTTATTCCATTGCAGCCTCCTGGAAAAATTATCACATTTCAGTGAATAACAAACTCTGGGTAGCTAAGGAAATTTTTCTCAGGTTTGCTTGCTATCAAAGCAGGAAGAACTTAATATTGGCTAGAAGAAAGCTTTCTAAAAGTTTGCTATGTTAATGGCAAAGTTTTCAGGTACATGACCTACACTGAGTATGTCTTAGCAATAGAAGAAATTTAAAAAAAAAAAAAAGCAGCTTTCCATTGGAGGTACAATTCCCTCTAAGCCTGTGGTCATCRGACTTTTCTCATTGCCTTTTGTGGAAGTAACTTAAAAAATTCCAGGGACTGATTCATTCATTAGAAATAACCAGTGGATTGCATGTTTTCCCCTTGAGAATGAAATTTCCCAAGGGTGTGTTGGTTGACTTTGTCACATAAGTTGCTTAAATTTCTGATGGAAGAGCTGTAGCTCCTTGTAGATCTGCCCACAGCAACTGGACCAATGCAAGAGTATATGCAGTTAATTTATTAGTATTCTTGTAGCGTCTGTGAGCTGTTGAGGAGATGCTCAGCATGCCAATCACTGTCTGAACCAAGGACAAAGGCTGCATCTGTACTCAAGAGCTTGGCTCCTTCCAGAAAGGCAGAGACAGAAGAGCCACATAAATGGAAACCCAAGAACAGAAGTAACTCATTTAGGGGAAGACARGCAGTGCATTCTGTCTTTGTGTTTTCACTGTAAGGATTTCATGCAAAATTCAGTATGATGAAAAATTTGGTCAAGCAGATTTAGCTGACAGATGAGCTTTAAATCACCACAGGATGTGCACAGATGTCACCTGATTCTGTGCCCATTGTTTTTTTCCACACAAATGGGTTAACACAAAACTGAGGGGGACCATGGAAATTTCCATCCAAGATTTCTTAGAGTCAGGGAAAAATTGGATCAAGGAGATCTGCTTCTCTTGGACTAACAGAAATAGGCTGTTAATATTTCATAGGCTAATTAAAAATTCAAGCATGGTTATTAATGTTGTTTCCCAACCGTGTTTGTGCCCACCTATCTCTACTGAGATCTGTTTTGTGGTGTTAGATTTTATTCATTGTCTYTTTCACATATGAAAAGGCCAGGAAGCTGTGATCAGCAGACTATCTCCTGCAGAGCCTCTAGTGTCTGTGCAGGACAAGATCAGTGCTGGCTCAGGTAGGGCAGTGTATGGTTTTTCTCCTTGCCCTAAAATCAGATTTCACTGAACTTGTTTTTCCATCAACTCCATCCTTCTGGCATATGCATTTTTTAAATCAGCCAGTGGTTTCAGTGATTTTTAGCTGCTTAAGCAGCATTTCCTTAGCAAAGTAAATGATGCAGGTGCAAGACATATTGAGCTGAAACTCAAGAAGGTGGCAGCACAGTAAAGCAGTAGATTAAACCAGAGTTTGTCACTMTTGTGACTAAAAGCATTATAGGAGTCATGTAGGAGAATTTATTTCAGTTAACATCTAAGATTCCCTACCTCCCTGCCCCGTCCACAACCTATTCTCTTAGTAGGACATCAAAGACTCTCTTGGATCCTGAATTCTGATTTGGCCCAGAGTGCATACCACCACTGGGGSATATTGAGACCAATTTTAAACATGTTGTAATGTCATCACAGACTGTMGGTGTTATTGCTAGGAAGATATCCTGAGTAATTTTTCCTGTCATTTCATCATGACAATGCAGAAGGTATCAATATATTTCATTAAGAGAGCAGACTTTCTGCACTTACCTGTTTCCAGAGACATTGATGCAGGACACAAATCTTTGGCACTACAGAAGAAAACCAGTTGGCTGACATATCTGTTGGACTRAAAGGGGAAAGTTCTTTCAGAGGTCATTCAGAGCTGGTTTTGCTCTCTGGGTCCATGTAATGGCTTGCTGATAGGGAATGTGTTTGTTCACACGCAGAGATTTACTGCTGTGGGCTGCTGAGCACCAGGAAAAGTGACTGCACAGGCCTACCTCCATCCATGCTGAACAATTCTGAAACTCCACAGTCCAGAGGACAGTACAGAATAAGAATGAAGGGAAATATGTCACTGATTTGCTGGTACAATAAAGGGCACTTTCGTTTTCTGACCAACGCCTATTCTCCGGTTCAACAAGGTAAGCAATATTCCTACTTCTCATCTCAGAAGTGCACATGCTTTATGTCACAAGCCAAAATGAGTCACTGAGTTTGATAATAAGCCTGAATAAAGAGCTTGATTGTAACTGATCATACATCCTAGATAAATAGTAGCTCTAGTGATTACTTCCCTTTTGTATCTTCATGCAGCAATTGCTTTTTTCCATACAAAGGTTAAAAGCACACTGCTAATGCAGCCTCCTTTGCCTGAGCTGGTGGAGGCAGTATCCTTTTAGGTATGAAGATTATATCTTTGCTGATTGTCAGAGAAGGAAGGTTGATTATTGTGTAAGACTATATTAGACTATTTGCAATGGATCTTGTAGGATGGCTGCTACAGAAAAATTAATAAATATCCTGTTGTACTTTGAACTCCAAACAGATCTACAACTAATTTATCTTATCTAGTAAAAGCTTAGTCACAAACAAGTATCTTTTTGCCAGAAGTAAATATATTAAGGTTTCCTGTTGTATGTTAAGTTTATTTTTAGCAGTCAATGAAGAGAGACCAAAACAGATAATTTGGGTAGTTTGAATAATTACAGAGAACTTCTTGCTACTGAAATATTTTCCTTTTTGAAAATATACAGATGGTTTTAAGAATATTTCAAAATTTCTGTAAAAATGCAATATGACTAGCTAACTTCTTGAAATTAATTTTCCAGTGAGAATATTGTTTCAGTTTCTTACAATTATTATAATTCACATTTGTGGATAACTGCCAGAGACAAATRAGAATAACCTAAACCTTTAAATATAAAGCCAACAATTCAAAGGCATAGTTTTCTGAATCCCAAGAGACTGTCACTTATGTGTACAGATTACAGAAGCAAAGTTAAGGCCTAAAATTACTGTATGGTAAGCTGAGAAAGCTGACTTAGTGTGTAGTTCAATGCCTTGACAGAAGGCTCTTTGCCATAGCAGAGCATKGCTGATCCTGAGAAATTCTGCTGGGCATCCCAGCTGAATGAGGATTTGGTGATTCAAATGGACTGATGTCTGAGAACAAATGCTGAAAATACATATCTGAAGGARCTATGACACTTTGGAGACCCTGCTGAAATCAGTCTCTAGAGCAGTGTAGCTCCCCATGAGGGGCTTTCACCATCAGGATTTGTGCTGTTTTCCTTGTGCTTTTTGCTGGATTTAGATTATTCAACTGCAGTAACTGGACAAGAGTTATCTCTACAAACTGCTACTTGTTTTTTATAGACTAGCATAGAGCATTTTGTTATAATTCATAAATATTAGAAAAATATTCTGTTTATAAACATCAGTGTTATYTGCCCTTTTAAAAAGGGGAACACAAGCAGACTGTGCTGGCAGCAGCACATGGGGGTGTGAGCTGTTGTGCTTGTGATTGACCTTGGGTCTGTTTTGGCATAGATGGGATTGTAGGTTGTGTGTGTGAGATAGTTTAAYGTCCACTGATTACAACCACTGTGTGTGATGGACAAGACTTTCCCAACTCCTTGCTCACCAAGTGCTGGCTGGGACAGTTGACATAGTTCACTGTGAATCAGAGCAGAAAACAGAGACTGGCTTTTTAAAGAGTGATGCTGGGCAAAGAGAGTCTTCAGCAGGGACCTGGGAACAGATGGAGGCTCGGTGGGAAGGCAAGAGACCAGATTGCTYGTCTCTGATTTGGCATCGCTAAAGTCAGTGCAGCAAAGAGAGTTTAAACCAACTTGAGAGAAGCTGTACCACCAGTCTCCTCTAAGGCATGTAAATATAGGGGAGGAGGAGGAGGAGAAATCTATGCTCCTTGAGGCAGGCCTGTAGCCCAGACCTGCTGAGCATGTGTTAGATGGGAGAGGAGATAGGGTCAAGGGGGGTTAAAACCCATGCAAGATATTGAACAGACTGGTGCCAGTGGGATTGCCTAGTGATGCACAGTGCATGTTTGTGCTCAGCTGAGTGTAAATGTGTGGGAGCTGGAGGAGACTCTGAAGAGAAAACGTTAAAAACAGAAGGCAGAARATGGTCAAAAGAGCACTTAGAATGAGAAAAGAGGTGGACATAGCTAATAATTAGCTATTTATTGGAATTGAAAGGAAAGTCAAGAARGTAAATCTTGCCTGTAGTTGGAGTGCAAATCCCACCCAAAGCCAGAGGCGCCAGGAGGGCAATACACTTGTCAGAGCTGATCTATGAATACTATTCTGAGATGCAGCAGGTTATTTATTACGGATGTTTGAACCAACATGACATGATACATCATCTCAGGTACATAAGGATGGCTCTCATTCCTTCAGTTTTTGCAAAAGTGTCCTGCTTACTGTGCTATCAAGTATGTAATTTCTGCCTAGAACAAAATCTGGTTGGATTTTAATTACCCTTAAGCTTTAATTTTTCCTTGTGCTTGTATTACAGAAGAGAGAGAATCCAAAAAGRTTGGAACCCCCTGAGAATAAAAAATTACCTTGTTATAAAGCTGGTCATCTATGTCTATCCAAATCTCCCCAATTGTGGGACAAGGATGCAGTTTGGTTTTTTCACTCTAGATCTGGTGCCCACTTCCCCAGCAACTCCATTATTGTGTTCTAGAAATAACTTCTATCTTTTCTACCTCTCATATGTAGCAGGATGGAGCAGGCAGCAATCTCATTGCACAGTAGGATGACCAGAATAACATCTTCAGAAAAAAAAGCTGTTGAACTCAGTATCTTTTAAATAAGTAGCTTCTTTCTGAGAAGAACTTTCACAGGTGGTCTTCACCAGCTAGCTCCACTGAAACGATAAACATTGAATAACTAGGAATAGAAAACAAAGCTTGAGCCACATATGGAAGGAATAAAGAGCTGCAAATGGCATGTTAGCATCTCATAAGTGACTTCTGAGAAGATGGGAGATGTTGTGGAGCCATCACAATTGTATGAAGCAGTTGAACCCTGTGTGGTTCTTACTCCAGGAGAAGCTGGGGTGAGAGCTGACTGGTGACAATCTAGTTTCCTGAAAAAATCTGCTTGTGAGATTGGCCTGGAATTGGAATTTCTGGGGAAAGAAAACATAATGTTAAAAAGCATATTTCAGGATGGGTAAGCTTAGGATTTCAACTAACATTTCCATGTGTTCTTTGTGAGATTACAGTCAGGAGGTTGTGTCCAAATATGGTGAGACTGGGGACTGGAGGATGCTGCTGAGAAATCATCAGACCTTGTACAATAGTTATTGTTGGGAATTCTGATAAAGAACTGTAAGAAATCAAAGCCCTGATARAAAGCCATATAGCACTTGGATCATGCAATGCCCCTTCATTATATTATTATGAAATCTCAGGGGTGGCCAAGATGGATGCAAGTGCTGGTATTGAGGCTCCCATTTTTTAAAAAGCATGTTTCTAAATAGGCTTAGGATAAGTGTTTTGTGGAAACAAACATATGTAAACCTTTGTCCTTTGGCTTGTTTCATTTTAGGTAGTATTTCCTAAGCTTTGCTTGAGGAGCATACAGCTTAAAAAATTAAAATTAAAAAGAAAACAGGGTTAAAAGAACCCAAAACTCCAAAGCTGATGCCTTTCTATGGTGACAGCATGGAGGCCAACAGTTGTCACCCTTTCTAGCTTGGTAGCAAAGGCAGGCTGTGGCTGTGGTGCAGGTGGTGTGTTCTCTGGAGTGCAGCCAGGGATGGGAACACAGCAGTGCTGGGGGAGGACCAGGAGGGGAAATGGCTCATCGGATGTGCCAATGAATCAGCCAGCTCAGGATCACATGCCACAGARACCTGCAGCTAGCAATGACCCAGCTCTGGCAGTTGTCTTCCCTGGGAAGGTGGGCTATAWCTATGAAACAAGCCTAGGAAAAGCTGAAAATAGAGGAATGTTAGGGGGAATATAATAGAAAATGATARGGAGTATATGGTTCTGCCACTGCAATGCATTCTTTTAAAGATGATGAATACAAAGCAATTACAAAGGAAATACAAATCCTCTAAAGGAAGAGGAGGGGAAGAAGGGGAAGAGAGGAAGAGGAGAAAGAAGGGTGTTTCTTTTTTTGTATAACCTTGTTAACTTTGTATAAGTGTTGCAGCACTAAGGCAGCAGGCTGGTGGTGTATCAGTCCTTTTTACCTCATATTGGCCAGATATAGTAGGACTCATTAAAAGAATCAAACCACACTATAATAACTACATGAATGTAATGAAGGATTTGTTTGATTGCCCCCCCACACACACACCTTGGGCAACATTTGCACCCAGCTTGAAGGGGCAGAGGTGAAAGGAGAATGTATTGAACAATTTAGAGGTGGTATAATTTTGGACTTTTGAAAAATCAGACTTTGAACACCCCAAATAAATTGCTGCATCGCTCAGCTGTAACATGACATTTAGTATGTGTCACATACTTGCTCCAAAATAGAGTCTGCCAGCTAGAACAGCACAGGGGGCTTGACAGAGATAATGGATGGAATGAGACTTCCAGCTGGAGGAATGAAATGGTGAAGTCTGTAATCAAAACGTGAGTAGCATTTTAGGGCTGATTGTAAAAGAGTTGGCAGAAGGAAGGCAATGAAAGTTTTCTTGAAAGCTTGAGAAATGAGAAAGCTCAGAATTGTACCTGTACAGAAATGATGCTGAGAAAGGATGCAACCAAGCCTGTGCTTCTCCAGACCTGGAGAAAATAGTTTTGTATCAGAGAGAAGGGAGCSTCACTAGACAGTGTGCCATAGCCATGGAGTAAATGGTGATGCATCCCATGGACAGCCGACCATTGAGGCCTCTGGGGATATAAGGTCCAAAGTTAGGGAACAGTCTCCTATGATTTAAGTTTGTTTTACTAACTCTTTCTTCTTACAGGGAGCTTTCCCCAGGAATGGGGAAGAAGGATAGGAGCAATAAATCAGAAACGAGCTAGTGGAGTTTTTTAGGAGAGGACTGGACTTACAAAGAGTGCTGTAGTGTTGGATGAGGCCAGGTAAAAGACAGACCATGTGAGGGAATGGGGCCTGTTCTTGGAGTACCCTTCTCTAGCACCACATCGTTGTCTGTGCAGAGTGGCTGCTATGTGGCTGCAGGGCACCTGTTGCCTTACTACACMTTTCTGCAGGGTGATGAGCTGAAGATGTTGCTCTTGGCCCCCATAGGTGGAGATAAGCAAAGGATTTAATTTTGGGGGACTAATTTGGGACCTTCAGAATTCAAAGCAGGTAACAGCAAGTTATTGTCTAGAGGTGACCACAATTTCTTGTCAACCACAAGAGGAGAGACTAATACTGTCAGTAGGGGCTACAATGTATGGTTTTTTTTTTTTAATATATGGCAAAGATGTGTCTAACAACTTTTCATTTCCAGCTGAAAAATGATCCTTCTTCTTCCCCTTCCACTTGTTCAGTGTACTACCCATGGGAAAAGAAATCAAATTAGCATCTCTGCTACAGATAAGTTTCCAGTTTTAGGGGGAAAACTGTCAATAAGCTTTGTTTTATAATAGGCCATATGTAGAAAACATATTTTTCAATTGCCAGAATTATGATGTTAATTTAAAACTGCTACATTTCTAATTGATGCAGGAGTCATAATTAAGAGAAAAAGTGGAGAAATTCCATGCCCACTGGCAGTTGAAGCCTTTGCTGCTCACCTTAGCTATATCTGCAAATATGACGACAAATACAGCAAGTAAGTAAAATGTGCATGTGTGTGTGTACTTCTTTTACACCTTCTCTGTTACTGCAGTGTTTCAGTTCTCAATGTTGAGCTGCATCTGAGATCCCAATCCTGCATTCCCTGAGTTTATGACAGAACATCTGTTTAAATCAAAGATCAGACMCTGGCTGTGCACAAGGGCAAGAGCTGCATTTCTGTTATTGGTTTGGCTCTACCTACCCATCCACCAGTCAAAAAAAATTTGAGACCTTAGCATCTTGTGCATGACTTTTAAGAAGTGGTGGAAGGATGATCTAGCAGGCTGACAGAGAATTCAACAAGGGTCTACCAGCCCCACAACTTTTCTGGCTATCTCAGCTCTCCACCTCTAGCATTAGATGGTGTTTAGCTGATCATCTGTGTCACSTGGAGCCAGAGGAAAAGACACATTCAGTTGTGCATGTAAAGCTGATCTGCATGATCTGAGAGAGCAGAATATAGAACTTTAGAGTCCTGAATTCCAGTTGGTSTTAATTCTTAATGTAGCAGGGAGAAACAGAAATGTGTAAGAACCGCAGTGGTGAAGCTTGGATGTGGAATAGCAATGAGGTGCAGAGGATTTCAAGAACTAGGAACTGAGAAGAGAGAAAAAGCAGCATAGATTTTTCAAGCCAGTTCTGGGCAAGGAAGCAAGAATTCAGTAGAATATTTGAAAGAGGAGGAGGTGGTCACTGGAGAACGATGTTGGGATCTGATCTGAGGAAATCAATGCGGAAAAGAGCTGACGTAGTAGATTTAAATGGTTGCTAAAAAAATGAAAGTAGGAAAGTAGGAAAATGGGAAATCTTATGACTGAAGAGCGAATATTCTGGCAGTCCTGGAATTAGTCAGAAYCTAAATATAAAGATGTCAATTCTTTCTAGTTCTACCTTGTGCTCCACATAGCAGCAGTGTATGCTCTGGCTCTACCCCCACATCCTCCCACCTACTGTTGACAGCAGCAGCTATCATTCTTTGCTCCCAATCATGAGGGAGCATGAGGAAAAGCATCAGCAAGCTTTCCAAAACTGTAATGTAATGTGACTGAGGCTGTTTTTTTAGTTACAAATTGAAAGGATGCAGACCCACAGCTCCCATCATGTGGATGTTTGTCATGGGTGATCTCAAGGAATCTTTATCAGTACTCTTATTTACATGAAGTGATACAGAGGTGAGAGTGTTGCTGAAGTTTGCTTCTGAGAGCAAGGAGGTCTGTTCTTTTACACACTATCAGAAATCTAAAATTTGTGCAAATTGTCTGTAAATAACTGTCAAATTCATTGTACAAAATTTCTTTAAATGTACTTGCACTAGGTATTAAATTTCAGGTCTGCTTCTCCTTTGGGACTGCAGGATCTTTGGGGTTATTTCTTGCATCCCAGCTGCAATTGTTTGGCTGAACACTGTCTTTCCCTCCTTTCTTGGCTTTTTAGGTATTTCATTTCTCACAAACCAAACAAGACCTGGCAACAAGTGTTCTGGTTTGCCATCAGCATCGCTATAAATAACGCCTACATCCTCTACAAAATGTCAGAGGCCTACCACGTGACAAGGTACAGCCGCGCACAGTTTGGTGAGAGACTTGTAAAGGAGCTTTTGGGCTTGGAGGACACCTCACCCTCCCATTGATGCTTTGTTCTTGGTGGCATAGGCAGGGACTGGAGGGTAAACAGAAGATACCACGGCAAATCATGGAGCGGCAAAGCAAGGAACTTGTGACGCCACCAGTGCTGTCATCCAAAAATGCCAAATGATGCCAAAAGAGATGCAAACTTTGTTCCTAGTATTGGCGGGATGTAAAAATGTCGTGCAGAAAGTGCCACTGGAAAAGCTGACACAAAATTGCAYATGTGAATTGCAATGGGAATCTGTACACCCAAACCAGACTTAAACTAACTGTTATCTCAATGCTATTTGTTGAACAGAGCCATCTTGTAAAGTTCCTCTTGGGCCATGAGCTTGTCAGAAGCTGGCACAGCTCAGCAGTCCTAGACAGGTACGACAGGAAACTCTACATCTTCCTTGGAGTTATTGAAATCTGGGACAAGCACCGTGAGGCTGCACCATGGGCTGTGGCTGAGCATGCCTGCCATCTGTGAGGTGTCACCGCTCTCCTCCAGTGGGACAAGCGGGGCAGCTCRGCAAAGGAGCACCGCATCAGGCATRTTGACAAACACAACCTTCACAGGCAGGCAGCCAGCAACTGAGGACCAGTCACAACCTTTTCTTTCTGTTGTTTTTCTTTCCCCTTTGTTTGTATTGATGTAACACAATTTGATCCCAGTTGGAACACAGGAAAATTAGGAGAAAGCAAATACATYAGTGAATTTAAAATGACAAATACATTACATTGGTTTTGTTTTTTAACCAGGATGAAACATTTTATACACAAACAAACAGTGATTAATACTGTAAGTATTAACACTGAGTAAACCAGTAAGTAATACTGTCTCACATCTTAACTGCCACGGTCAGTGTACAGGTGAGAAATCGAAATATATCAACTATATTTTTTCTTGATTTCAACTGTATCTTAAATGATGCTTTACAAGCTAATGTAATGGACTGTTATGGTTTTAAGAACAATAATTTCTTAGTTTTTTCTTTGGYAACTGTCAAGACCTTTTTGGTCCACTTTAGAATTTCATTCGGCACACAGTTGGCAGGAAAAAATACRTCGCTAATAGCCGAGTGTTTCCCATTATCACTGTGGGGTGTTCCATAGGAATTATTTTTGGTAGAGTTCAGGGCTTGTCAGAGTAGTTGTAATTAAGCAGATTACGTGTTTAGCAAAATAACATAGCATTGTGTCTTACAAAAGGAAAGAAGTCCAGTTGCAAACAACCTTAAACCTTGCTAAAATAGAGCAAGCCCAAAGAGTGTCTCTGTCCTGAGTGATTCTGTAGAGGACAACCATCATTGTGAGCTGGTGGCTGAGACCATGTTTTGGTGCTCATGGAATCTGAAAGCCACTGGAATATCAGAAAACAATGCCAAGAGAGAGAGGTATGATTGAAACAAGGGAATCAATACTGAGGTGAAATACTACCCTGCCCTCTACGCATTATTGATTTCAGTCCACAACTCAATAACCAAAAACCACTGTATTCTGAAGGTTAGCAGTGATGGACACAAACAGAATGGCATTAACTTACAGGGCAGAAACCATGTTGATCAGAGGACCAGCTGGTTTCAGGCCCCTGACCCTGAAAAATTTTACTTTACTTCCAAAGACTGACTGGAGTTGATTCAAGAGGAATGGAGTGAATGACTGATTTATCAGCGTAGGTCTCACCAGGTTACATCTATYTATCTGGCAAGAGGCAATAGAGGGTAAGCAACATGAATTTGGAACAGATTTCATCATTCTGTGACATGCATATGCATAACATGTAAATAATAACAGAAGAACAATACAGCAGGGGTTAGTGAACAAATGATTAGCCCATGGAGTATCCTTGCACTGACACCTTTCTGTTTCCACCAAAGTCTTGTTTTACAAAGTAGACCTAGAGGCAGAGCTCCCCTGGATGTGAGGAGAGAAGGGAATGGCCAACTCCATGGTGGTTCTGCTTGTGCAACAGCCTGGAGCCATCCCACTAATCCTGCTCTGCCTGCCAGCTGAACAATGAACAGCAGCGGGATTCCAAAGCATCCTTTTCAATTCTCAGTCCACAAGGTCTCCACCCAGGAAACGTGGGAGAACAGACAAAACCTTGTGCACTGAGGCCTCCTAACAACAAAAGAAGGGGGTGTATTTGTTCTACTTTAGCCCTTGGCAATGCCAAGCTGCACAGAAACCCAAGGAAGAATTCAAAATTTCTTGGCCTGGCAGAGAGCTGAGACCACCCCTCTTCAGACTGTGTGTGTGCTGGTAGCTAGTCAGTCTTGTGAGTATTCAAAGGGAGACAGCAGCTAGCCTGAAGCATGAAAAATAAATGTTCAGCAATATAAACCTACAGTTTTCTTTTTTCAGAAAATTTCAGAGTGTTCATATTGCTCCCTGCTTCAGACAATGCCACCCTATATTGGATGAGGCAGAATAGCTACTAGCTCATTATATCCTAGAAATTTATATGGTAGTTTAAACTGGGGCAGTAAGGAAAAGTTTGGCTGGAACTCTGCTGATGGGACAGCTTAAATGAACAATAGCTACTTCCTTGCACTCCCTTGCCATGATGGAGTATTTGCAGGATACCCATGCCCCCAGCAGACATGGGATGGTTTCCAAGACCACCTTGGAGCCACTTGGAATTTCTGAGGAGTAGGCACAGCATTCTCCAGCTATGTTGTAGACCCCTGGGATAAATCTGGAGCCCTTGGCCAATTGTTACATAACAATGTATGTATGCTTAAAGGCCTGGATCTAGGCCATCCCATGGAGAAAATGCCTTTTCTTTTTTAAGTGACAGTAGGCCTGAGGCCTTGGAATATTTAATTTTTCACTAACGTATGCTGTTAATTTTGTGGATTACTTGTGCTCAAATCATGAGGTCCTAGCTTTTTGCCTCAGGGACTGGGTCCTGAGTAGTTTTCCCTAGAATTGGTGTTGAGGGGGGATTACACAGTGGCTGACTATTACAGGGAAGATGCTTTAGTCTCCTTTGTAAAGGAGAAAAATGAAGACAAAATTATAGCTTTGCAATGAATTTCATTTTCTTAGCCTTAACCATCCCTCATCATTTTGAACTGGTGTTGTAATCATGCACAAACATTCCATAAGTAAGCAAAAAATATTTATATATATTTATATGTACAAAATGCCTGAATTTTGGCTCTCAAAGCCAACAAGCAAAAGCCACCACAGTGTAGTCTATATCTGCAGATGACTTCCCCCTCATCTTTTATCGACTGGAAGTAGATAGGGTTGGGGAAAGATAAGATTTCTCCTTGTTGAAAAAGCATCTTGCACTTTTTCTGTTACTACAACCAAGGCGAAGTAATTAAGGAAGAAACAGAATAATTTCTAAAAGGCTAAAGTTTGTCAACTGCATCTCAGCTTGTGTAGGATTATTTCCTTCACTGCAAACTGGCTTACTTGGATTTGTTTCCCCACTTGCTCGTAACATTAAAACTTCTCCCTAATTAAAGGGGGGTGAAAAGTTAATCTCAAAGTAGTGCGAGGATGCTTGTCATAGTGTGTGTGTGTGTGTAATTGTGCAATAGCTTGTGCAATTATAGTTTGGGTTGTTTTGGGAGGTATTTTGTAGCCTTAAGACAATCTGGGTAAGAGATCTGAGAACTCAGCAGTAGGTAAAACGCCGTTGAAATGCCAACCAGGCATCACAGAGGAATGTCTCTAAACTTTTTCAGGAAAAAAAAAAGAAGTTTGACGCTGAAGAAGTGAAGGGAGCACAGCACAGCTCCTTTCTCTCCAGCTGAATTGAATTTTCACTGAGATGTACTTCTGAAAACTGATAATTACTTGTTCATGGTATGCAAACTTTGTTTCAAAAGAACTGAGACCATCAGTAAGACATACTGACCACCTTCTATGCACAATACTTTCAGGAAATGTCTGTCGTGCCACGATCCATTCTTGGAAAACATTTCTTTTCCCAGTGTGTAAGAACAACACTCACTAGAGCTTAGAAGCCACTGGGAAGTGTTTCCACTGTTGTCTCAATTGAAAAATGTTTCAAGGGCTTGCAGGAATTCTGCCACTTTTTACTTCAGCCCATCTGTACACTTGACCATGGGGCACAATTTAAAAAAAACTCTCATCTCCATTTGCTATTTCTATTCTCTATACCCAATCTTTCTATATATAAGTAGTCTAGGAATTATAATTTATAGAATGAAGATTTCTTTTTCTTCAGATAATTCCTAGAGAAAATTCAATTTAGCAACTCAAAAACAGCATTCCTCTTTATCTCCAGCTATATGTCTGTGGTCTTTTTTTGTTCTGAAGGTGTTATTTTCTTTCTAAAACACTCATTTAGAAGTCTGTCTTGAGCTGGCATGTAGTGAAAGAAGCCTCCAATATCTCATTTTTCCACACCTTAGTCCCCTTGTGCTAGAGCTTATTTTTCTGATGAGTGGAGGATTATGCTGCTCTGRTAACTCTGTGCATCTCTGCTACTTTCCAAGGAAGGATTGCAAAGTGCTGTAACAACCTCAGCACTCGTGAGACATCATTAGCTTATCAAAGCTTCTCCTTTCTTACCAGACACCAAAGCACCGCGCATGTAAGGAGGGTGATGAAACTGTAAAGTGGAGTTTACAGTCMTGCTAACTAAAGCCATGTTCGTTTTCAGTGATTTGGTTCTTGTTCAAAAGCACTTCTCCAAACTAGAAATGAAACTATGCCAAATACCATTTCCTGCTAATTAAGGGCTGTGTGACTTAGCACAGGTTCCTTCATAAAGGCTGGCATGAGTCAAAACCAAGCTGCACTCAAGGTAAGAGAAAATTTGATAAAACATGGGAGTTCAACAAGCCCAGGGGAATTTAGAGGAGATAAACGGAAAATCCGAAGCTCTGCAGTAGTCCAGTAAACAGGGTGAAATTCAAATACATAATTACTGAGTTGAGAAAAATCACAGAGGTTTAGAAGGAATATGAAGTCTTCCGTCCATCTCTGTTGTGGAGTTTGCCATGGCACTTCCTTCATGCTCAGATTTATGTAAGATTGGTTGGTCGTAAAATGAGCTCATCTCAGTTTGGCTGAGAAAAACATGCAAGTGTCAAAGGCCTGTTTGCAGTTTCACAAAGACAAGGAACTTTAAGATCAAAACAGGTATATATTTGTCCTGCTGTTAACTAGGATACTTGCACCAAGAGATGACATCATCTGCTCAAAAGCAAGCCTGTCATCAGTGCTGCTTGATATGTATTCATTCTTGTCACAACTCTTCCCAAATCTGCCTTTGTTTCCAGAAGCATAATGAATTGGAAGCACCCCTGTATCATCACCCCACTGCTGGGAAACAGCTGAGAACAGCTGTGCTTTGTACAAAAAGCCTCTCCTTCCCTTCTTTTGAGTGGTGGCTTTGTCTCTCCAGAAATCTAGCCCTGGAGAAGTTTCCTGCCCTACACTTTCCTTTGCTTCCCTCCTTCYTTGCATTTAGAACACATCCAAAGCATCCTGCAGGTTTTTGGTCAGTCTGGATGCATTGACAACACAGTTGTCAGTTTACTGACAGGCCCTTCAGTTTACTTTTGTAGCATTGCTTTGCTGGTCCTTTCTACTATTTTGCTGATCTCAGATGAAACAGGGTATTGTTTCTGAAGCCTGCTCTGATTGCAATCACTGTGAAGGTGTTGTCTGCTTTGCCCCAGCAGGTTCAGATGGACCCAAAAAAAAAGTTTCAGCAGCASCACACCCCCTGGTCCAACTGGAATAGCTCAATATTCCTCACCTCTGGATTGCTGTCACAGAGGGACCTTTGACAGGGTCTGGGGAGCTTTTTGTGCTTTGTTTTTTGAAGCCCTTCCACCCTGATGGGTTTGGTGAACAGCTGATAGGTATCACAAAAAGGCCTTAAGTGGTAAAACCCTTTTGTATCACTCTTCCGAATTAATAATTGCTTGCATTAGATGTCAAGGTAGTCCACATGATGTGTACTGCAAAAACCTTACCCATGAAAGCATCATTTGCTGCACCAGAACAACCTCGAATGCCTGGGGGCCCCGGGTAAGAACCCAGTGGGAGAGGACTATCATACCATACTGTAGGACCACGATGTGCAGGACCTGACTGGAGAAACAAGCCGGGGAGAGATAAGATTGCAATTTGCAATCCATACTCCTTGGACAAAACTTCATMGTGAAGATGGTCTCAGAAGTTCTTCTAGGGAAGGGAAGATGCCAGGCCCATACAGTTTGCTCCCAGCCCTGGCAACTCTGTTTCTAAAATAAATACATCTGTCAGATGCTTTCATGCTTCAAGTATTTACAGTGTGCTCTGGACTTCAGAACGTTTTGACCTATTTCCACTAGTTCCCAACAAAAAGCCTAGAAACTGAAAAGCAAAGCACAGTACACTAGGTTCAGCTGTCCAGAACCCCAACCCACTTGTGTCAAAGTAACTTTGTGGTCTTGTTCTCAAATAATCTATGTCAAGGCATTTGTAAAACGTGACTGCTAAAAAATTTGCATGTCTCTATGAAACATAGTTCCTCATTTGATGGAAAACAGTTTGCAGGTCTCTTGGACTTACTTTTGCAACCTGGATTTTTCTTCTAGATATAAGCCAAATCTTTGCCTGGCATTTCAGTGCTGAAATAAAAAAAAAAATAGCTTGATCCCATGGTCTGGGGGTGATATTAGAGATGATAAAGCTCAGGTTTATGCCATAGGTTAATCTGATCCTTTAAAGGTGAGGCTAATCTGCGTGGTCTGACTCGAGGAGTTCAAGGGCAACAGGGGGTTTGAGAAGGCAGAGGAAGGTTCAGAGGTTGGGCACATGGAGGGAGTGGAGCCAGGTGATCCCTTCTAACTCTCACCATTCCAGCATGTATACCCCCCTCTCCTGCTGCCTTTGAATTAAAAGAAAAGGCTGATGTTTAACACAAGCAGTCTGCACACCTGTTTTAGTATCATAAACCCTGCTTTATCTACATCCCTGGCCTCACTCCATGCCTTTCCTTAGATTATACATGTTCAGTAGTCGTCAGCCTTGGAGTCACAGCACTGCTGCATGTCAGCACAGCATGGAAGCTACAGACTGTGGAAGCGCCACAGTAGAAACAGGAACAATGGGGACTCTGGAAATGGAATCCCCCCTCGACATTTTGYTTTAATTTATTTTCAATGTGTGCAACTTACATTCCATCAAACGCAGTGACAGTTCCAAATGCAAAGATGGCCTTGACTGGCTGAATGCTTTCAAGACCACTRGGCTGTGCTCACATCATCAGCAACTGCGGTTCTGTTGCTAAGTTCCATATTCTGTATAATTCTAAAGATTTCTTTTGAAAGCATAAATTCCAGAGGTGATGTATACACTGCAAATTATGGGTTTTGTTTTCCTTTTTATTTTCTTATTTAAAATCTTCTCAGAGCAATTTTATAACAGCCAAGTCTTTCAGGAAATGCAGGTGTGTGACCTCTTTACAGTAAGAGACACACAACTGTGTTTCTGCATGGGACAGGGAAATCTTTTGTGACACCAGTTTTGTTCTGCACAAAGGCACGCTTGCAATAAATTTTTACAAGTTTTGTACACCATAAGCTAAATTCCAAGTTCCAAAAATGTGAAGTGTGGCAACAATAACAAAATGGATTTATAGTATCACTCTGATATCTTGTCATGTGATTTTATTTCTTCAACAAAGTTTGTTTACAATCAACAACTTTGAAATACAGTCAGATATATTACTGGTTGCTTTTCCTGTCTTGTTCTTTTCTGAAATAGGTGGGGAAGATGTTTGGTCATGCTCTGGGTGCGTAGATGAAAGGATGCAGAGAATTTACTGCAAGATAAGTTACAGGTTCACACTCTAAGACCATTAGAATCAAAAAATTACCATCTTTATCCAGCCATTGGGGACAAGGGCATTTTCTGTAAAAAGAATTGACTTTAAAAAACCTTTCAGTGGGGTCTGCACACAGGCATAGGGAAGCAGACCACTGTGCCCCCCAGGCCCTCCTGACCTTCACAAACAGTGCTTCCTGGACACCTCAGGACAGAGCAGGGTGTGCACAAGGACAGGGACAGCTGTCTCAGCTCTCAAATATCTCTGCTGAACAGAGCTAGCCCTTTGTCCTCAATGGTCTGGTTCTTCCTGGCAAGGTTTGTCTGTACCACTAATGGTACCCACCAAACCCATGATCTGCAGCCACATGAGTGGCATTTGCAGCAAAAAGAGATGTGTGATCTGCACATGGCCTCTGTTTCACTGCTCCAAGTCAACAAGTTGCTAGGACTTGGTTTAAACCTTATTCCACCTGGGGAGCAGAAGACATTGGTGGGATTACAGTCAGTCTTTGCCAACAACCACAATAAAGATGTCCCCCATGCCTCGGGCTGTGTCCCTCATTTCCCCATGGCTGCAAAGGCTCCACTGGGACTGGGCTGCTTGGCATCCTCGAGGTGTGTGAGCACGGCTCAACACCAGCCTCTGGCCAGGATCTGTTAGGTGGCTGCCGGGTCTGATTTGCTCAGTCTGTTTCTTCAGCATCTTGTGTTTTCCACATAAAGAAACTTAAGTGTGCACTTCAGTTATCCAAAGAAAAAGCCAGATTTCCAGGGAAAACCAAACAAGGAAAAAGCCAAATTTCCAGGGAAGAACAAGCCACTTGACCTATTTGATATCTTTGTGGACCCAGTCCCTAAGAGGGAACTATTTTTATGAAGTTGCCTAGTATCAAAAAAGGGAAGGGCAAGAGATTCTGGCTGTTCAATACAGCTGAGACCTCAGAAATCTTTTCAACATCTAAGTAGCTGCATTGACACCCCTTAATGTGCTGGTCTGAAAGACAATCTGGCCCCTTCACACAAGCTGCTTGTCCAAAAAAACAACATCTTTTCTCCTTTGCTGTGCATTTTTTGCACCACAACAGTCACTGCTGAGCAGCAGGGAGGAACTCACAGGTTTGTGCTCACAGATGTCACATCCAAGCTCAAGAAGTGATCCAGCCACAGTGCTTGTCTGCAGCTCAGAGTGGAGGCTGGCTCATCCCAAACGAGTGCAGAGGCTGGGAACACGCAGGTACGTCATCACGGAAATGGAGTGGCATGAGCACGGTCCGGTGGGTGGCAGGGCCCCCTGCAATGGGAGCAGCCACGCACAGGTGGCTCCCTGCATCACTCCATAGGCACACACAGCAGGAGGGACCTAAGGAGAGGATTACAAGCACCTGCAGCGAGATCAGCTACACACCAGGCGAGATGTTCATCTGTGCCATAAAACAAATGAGAATTTGTCCTTGTTCCCTGTCATGGTTGGACAGTCACCCCCAGCAGCACAGCACTTTGTTCCCTGGATGTGCCATGACCAGAGCTAATGCTCTGCATAATCGGGCCATACCATCAGAGGTACAATAAGCAATGCAAACCATCTTTAACACACTAATTGAATAAAAGAAGGTATTTAATTTATGAAATTATGAAATCCAGGATCTGAYTGACACAGACACACATGCATTACCTCGGCGCTGTCATTTACAGCGTTGCCATCCATTCAGATCAGACCAGGGCCTGCAGTAACTCAATCTCCAGTAAAATGATTCTCTAGAGAATTTGCAATTAATAATTCCAGCAATGGGATCTTTCTTAATTAAGCCAAACTTAACMTTCGCTTTTGCAGTGTTTTCTAATATCCTGTTCCACTTGTCCCTCTGTCCCCAGAGRGAATAAAAATGTCACCTTATGCATACTGCAGAGAAGGACACAACCAGCTGTTACCAAGTCAAAGCACAAACTCTTAAAGTGTCCTTACCCAAGATTTGAAAGAGCACTTTACATTCAGTAATGAAAGGCACCTAATCAGACCCCTGCAATGCAAAGCCATTTCCACTCTCTTCAGAGACAGTCTCCATGCTCTAGTTTCCACAGATTACAGCACTGTCTCAGCTTTATCTTTGGGATTGAGGGTTTAAGAAATCAATACAAAAAAGGTGGTGAGAACTGAGAAGCCAGAAACCTCTCTCAATTCCTGTGGTGTTCCCACTTCCCCAGGTGAGGGCTTGGACAGGATTCTTCAGGAGCACCTGCTCCAGCGATRCTGGCATGGGATTTGTGTATTCTACCAGGGCTTTTGCTGCAGATTTTGTTTCCTGTCACAGGTTTTGCCTGGGAATCTGCAGTCCGTCCTTCATCAAAGAAGCAAGAGCAGCAGCAAAGGAGGTTCTCAGATTAATGGGGAATTGGCAATCCATAAACTTGGATGAGAATCACCTCCCCTGAGCAGATGGACTCACCTCCCACAGYGCAGCTATTGCGCTGCACTGACCTGGAGGCAGCTGGTACCAACTGCAGTGTGAACACACCAAGGCGCAACAAGCCAAAATATGCTCCTTTTTCTACTTCTGTAGACTCAGGGCTGGATTGCAACCTTAAAAGAAGGGTTAGATACTCTTCCTGCCAGATTCTGACTCCCCAAGGAAAACCAGGCAGGATTTAAAGTCTCAAATCCTTTGGAGAAAYAGCAAAGCAAACCTCTATTTCTCTCCTGGA